CTTTCCCCTCTACGGGGTGCCGACCCCAATCCGGCCCCAGGCAGTAACTGGATGGCTCAAGGGACAGAGGGTGGGATAAGGGGTAGGGTTTGGTAACTTCCAACACAATGTCTCTGTGTTTTCACAGCTCGGGCATCCACACCGCAGCCGCTCCAGGGCATGGAGGTGGATCTCATGGGACCTGTTGCCTGTAACTGCGCCTACAACCAGTCCAGCTCAGCTGGTGAGCCAGTGTCCATCCTCCCAGACATGCTTTGTGCTGCTCAACAGGAGAAGAACACCAGCTGTGAGGTGAGTGAGCCATCCTAGGCACAGCATGGCCCCAGGGTCTGCAGAACATCTGGGCAGCCACAACAGCTGGCTCTGAAGGACTGATCTCCATGGCTCCATCAATGGAGACATTCCCCCCTTTTCCACACAAAGGCCTGGTTCTGGCAGGCTTTCCGTCCCCCCATCTCACCCCTGCCCCGTTTGCTTATCAGATGCTCTAGACGTTCAGGGTGCTTATCACTTGAATGTAGACGCTGGCGCCTCTGGAGCTGTCCATGGTGCTGAGGTGTCCTATCCTCCAAGGCTGAACCTTCCAGCATTCAGCAGGGCATGTGCCCAGCAGTACATGGGGCTTATGGTACTGTCCATGGTACTGAAATTTTCTATTGGCCATTGCTGGGCTAGGTGCTTTTGGGTCAGGCAGGTTTCCCGCCCACCCTCGTTCCTCTGGAGCTGTCCATGGTACTGATGTGTCCTATTTTTGCCCAGGGCTGAGCCATCCAGTGTTGGGTAGGGCATGGATCCAGCATGTCCTGGTTCTCCTATTGTCCGTGGCTCATCCATCCTGCCTTGGGTTGGGCATGGATGGAGCACGCCACAGCTCTCCATGGTGCAGAGATGGTCTGTGCAACCTCTGACCCACTGTGCACTGGGGTAGCTCATGGTCATTCATGGAGGAGGACTGTTTCACTGAATTTCTGGGATGTCTCCTCCTGCAGCCACTCCCTGGGGAAGACCCAGAATATCCGCTGTCCAACAGGCCCTGAGAACCCACCCCCTCTGGAGTTCATGCAGTTGTCCCTTTGCTCTTGACTCTCCAGGGCGATGATGGGGGGGCTCTGATTTGCAATGAGAAGGGCACCTGGTTCCTGACTGGCCTCTCCAGCTTTGGCAACGGCTGCGGGAGGAAGAGCCAGCCTGGGGTGTACACGGAAGTTAGAGCATACGAGAAATGGATCATGGACATCACACGGGATGGTTACTTTGCCAAGCAGCCCATGCCAGTTCCAGCAGTCAAAGAAGAGGACAGATGCCCAATGAAGCCTACACCAAGTAAGGGGCGATCCAGACAGCAACCTCAATTCCTTTAGGTGCCCATGCTAAGCAGGGTGGGGCTAGGTCAATAGTTGGATGGGAGACCAGACAGGAAAAACAGTGTTCTGTACAGGGGGCAACCTGCTCACTCATGGCAGTCAAGGCTGGCCCCAATGCCCCATAGTCACACTAGGAGGCACTGTGCTGTAGGGATTGGGGTAGGAACTCAAGAGGGGGTGGTCTCCCGTCACAGTCAGTGCTGACCCCAATACCCCACTGCAACACTAGGAGGTGCTGTACTGCAGGAAACAATGTGGGTGACTCAGAGATACTCACTGACTATGCCTCTCTCTCCTGCAGCTCCTGGTGGAGATGGGGAAAAGCCAGTGCCAACTAGTGGTACCACAAGAGGGGAAGGTGAGTCCCTAAGCACCTGATGACACTTTTCCACTGCCCAGGCAGTCTCAGGGGTCTTCAGAAGTGTGGTCTCACTGCAAAGCGACCTGACCCTCCTGCAATCTGCCTCCCCAACCAGAGCTACCTCCCAGCACCTGGGACAACCTTCTACCCTACCTGCCAACTGCCAAGCCATCCAGAGCCCAGCCCTGCAATCACCAACCACTCTAGTGTGCCACTGGGGGGTGCTGAGCTGCAGGTGGTGGGGCAGGGCTCAGTAGTGGGGGTTCTTCCCTGGCAGTCAGCGCTGGCCCTGATACCCCAGTGTGGTGGTAGAGGGCGCTGTGCTGTGGGAAGCAGATCAGGGGCTCAGTATTGGGCACTCTCCCCTGGCAGTCAGTGCTGACCCCAATGCCCCACTGCGACACTAGGGGGCGCTGGGCTGCAAGAAACAATGTGGGTGACTCAGAGACATGCCCTGACTATATCTCTCTCTCCTGCAGGTTCCAGTGGAGAGGGGGAAAAGCCAGTGCCAACTACTGGTGGTACCACACGTGGGGAAGGTGAGTCCCTAAGCATCTGAGGACACTTTTTCACTGCCCAGGCAGCATAACTGGTGTTCAGAAGTGTGGTCTCACTGCAAAGAGACCTGACCCTCCTGCAATCTGCCTCCCCAACCAGATCTACCTCCCAGCACCTGGGACATGCCTTCCACCCTGCCTGCCAACCGCCAAACCATCCAGAGCCCAGTTCTGCCTCCACCAGCCACCCTAGTGCAGCACTAAGGGGCGCTGAGCTGCAGGTGGTGGGGCAGGGGAGAGCAGGGGGTGCCCTTTCCTGGCAGTCAGCGCTGGCCCTGGTACCCCAGTGTGGCGGTAGGGGGCGCTGTGCTGTGGGAAACAGAGTAAAGGTTCAGTATTGGGCACTCTCCCCTCACAGTCAGTGCGGACCCCAATGCTCCACTGCGACACTAGGGGGCGCTGTGCTGCAGGAAACAATGTGGGTGACTCAGAGACATGCCCTGACTATACCTCTCTCTCCTGCAGGTTCCGGTGGAGAGGGGGGAATGCCACTCTCAACTACTGGTGGTACTACAAGAGGGGAAGGTGAGTCCCTAAACTTTCCACTTTTCCACTGCCCAGGCAGTTGAGGGGTGTTCAGAAGTGTGGTCTCACTGCAAAGCGACCTGACCCTCCTGCAATCTGCCTCCCCAACCAGAGCTACCTCCCAGCACCTGGGACAAACCTTCCACCCTACCTGCCAACCGCCATGCCATCCAGAGCCCAGCTCTGCCACCACCAGCCACTCTAGTGCGCCACTGGGGGGTGCCAAGCTGCAGGTGGTGGGGCAGGGCTCAGTAGCATGTTCTCTTCCCTGGCAGTCAGCGCTGGCCCTGATACCCCAGTGTGGTGGTAGAGGGCGCTGTGCTGTGGGATGCAGATCAGGGGATCAGTAGTGGGAGCTCTCCCCTGGCAGTCAGTGCTGACCCCAATGCCCCACTGCGACACTAGGGGGCGCTGGGCTGCAGGAAACAATGTGGGTGACTCAGGGACACTCCCTGACTATGCCTCTCTCTCCTGCAGGTTCCAGTGGAGAGGGGGGAAAGCCAGTGCCAACTACTGGTGGTACCACAGGTGGGGAAGGTGAGTCCCTAAGCATCTGAGGACACTTTTCCACTGCCCAGGCAGCATAACTGGTGTTCAGAAGTGTGGTCTCACTGCAGAGCGACCTGGTGCTCCTGCAATCTGCCTGCCCAACCAGAGCTACCTCCAGCTCCTGGGACCAACCTTCCACCCTGCCTGCCAACCGCCAAACCATCCAGAGCCCAGTTCTGCCTCCACCAGCCACTCTAGTGCGCCACTGGGGGGTGCCAAGCTGCAGGTGGTGGGGCAGAGCTCAGTAGCGTGTTCTCTTCCCTGGCAGCCAGTGCTGGCCCTGATACCCCAGTGTGGCGGTAGAGGGCGCTGTGCTGCGGGAAACAATGTGGGTGACTCAGGGACACTCACTGACCATGCCTCTCTCTCCTGCAGGTTCCAGTGGAGAGGGGGGAAAGCCAGTGCCAACTACTGGTGGTACCACAGGTGGGGAAGGTGAGTCCCTAAGCATCTGAGGACACTTTTTCACTGCCCAGGCAGCATAACTGGTGTTCAGAAGTGTGGTCTCACTGAATAGCGACCTGACCCTCCTGCAATCTACCTCCCCAACCAGATCTACCTCCCAGTACCTGGGACATACCTTCCACCCTGCCTGCCAACCGCCAAACCATCCAGAGCCCAGCTCTGCCTCCACCAGCTACTCCAGTGTGGCACTAGGGGGCACTGCACGGCGGGAAGCAGCGCAAGGGCTCAGTAGGGGGTGCTGTGTTCTGGCAGTCAGGGCTGACCCCAGTGCCCCAGTGTAGTGTTAGGGGGCGCTGATCTGCTGCAGGGAACAATGTTGGTGATACACAGTTACTGACTATCCCTCTCTCTCCTTTAGGTTCTGGTGGAGAGGAGGAAAAGCCAGTGCCACCCGGTGGTGCCACAGAAGAGGAAGGTGAGTCGCTAAGCAACTGAGACCCCTTTTTCGCTTTCCAGGCAGTCTAGGGGGTATTTGGAAGTGTGGTCTCACTGCAGAGCGACCTGACCCTCCTGCAGTCCCCCCCCCCGACCAGAACTACCTCCCAGCTCCTGGAGAAAAACCTTCCACCCTGCCTGCCAACCGCCAAACCATCCAGAGCCCAGCTCTGCCTCCACCAGCCACTCTAGTGTGGCACTAGGGGGTGCTGTGTTGCAGGGAGTGGGGGGCTCATTAAGGGGACACTCTCCCCTGACAGTCAGTGCTGTCCCTGCTGTCCCAGTGTGGTGGTAGGAGGCGCTGTACTGCATGGAGCAGAGCAAGTCAGTAGGAGACACTCTCCCCTCACAGCCAGTGCTGACCCCAATACCGCAGTTCAGCACTAGGGGGTGCTGCGCTGCAAGGATTGGGGCAGATGGCTCAGTAGGGAGCACTCTCTTCTGCTGACCCCAATGCCCCCTTGCAGTGCTAGGGGGCGCTGGGCTGCAGGGAACAAGGTTGGTAACTCGGAGACACTCCCTGACTCTACTTCTTGCTGCTGCAGGTTCCGGTGGAGAGTGGGAAAAGCCAGTGCCGCCCGGTTGTGCCAAACGAGGAGAAGGTGAGTCCCTCAATGCCTGAGCCCCACTTTTCACTCCCCAGGCAGTCCCAGGGGTGTTCAGAAGTGTGGTCTCACTGCAGAGCGACCTGACCCTCCTGCAATCTACCTCCCCAACCAGAGCTACCTCCCAGCTCCTGGGACAAGCCTTCCTTACCCTGCCTGCTGACCGCCAAACCATCCAGAGCCCAGCTCTGCCTCCACCAGCCACTCTAGGGTGGCACTAGGGGGCACCGAGCTGCAGGTGGTGGGGCTGGGTTTCAGCAGGGGGCGCTCTCCCCTGGCAGTCAGTGCTGGCCCCTGATGTCCCAGTGCAGCACTAGGGGTGGCCGTGGCTGCAGGGAGTGGGGCAGGGGCTCAGTAGGGGGTGCTCTCCCCTCACCACCAATGCTGACCCCCAATGCCACACTGCACTATGAGGGGCCGTTGTGCTGTAGGGAATAATTTGGGTGACTTAATAGAGACACTCACTGACTGTACCTCTGTTCCCTACAGGTTCCAGTGGCAAGGGGCAGAAGTCAGTGCCACCTGGTTGTGCCAAACGAGGGGAAGGTGAGTCCCTTAGCACCTGAGGATACATTCACTCCCCAGGCAGTCCGAGGGGTGTTTGGAAGTGTGGTCTCACCGCAGAGCGACCTGACCCTCCTGCAATCTGCCTCCCCAACCAGAGCTACCTCCCAGCTCCTGGGAAAAACCTTCCGCCCTGCCTGCCAACCGCCAAACCATCCAGTGCCCAGCTCTGCCACCCCCAGCCACTCTAGTGCGGCACTAGGGGGCGCTGAGCTGCAGGGAGCAGGGCTGGGGCTCAGTACAGGATGCTCTCCCTGTCAGGGCTGACAGCAATGCACCAGTGCAGTGTTAGAGGGCACTGTGATACAGTGAGTAAGGCAGGGCTCAGTAGGGGGCGCTCTCCCCCAGCAGGCAGTGCTGGCCCCTGTGCCCCAGTGATGCACTAGGGGGCGCTGTGCTGCAGGGAACCATGTGGGTGATGCAGAGTCACTCTGACTAGATCTCTCTCTCCTGCAGGTTCCAGTGGCAAGGGGCAGAAGCCAGTGCCACCCGGCGCTGCCAAACGAGGGGAAGGTGAGTCCCTTAGCACCTGAGGCCCCCTGTTCAGTCCCCTTAAAGTCTGGGGGTGTTCGGATGTCTGGTCTCACCGCAGAGCGACCTGACCCTCCTGCAATCTGCCTCCCCAACCAGAGCTACCTCCCAGCTCCTGGGCCCAACCTTCCACCCTGCCTGCCAACCGCCAAGCCATCCAGAGTCCAGCTCTGCCACCACCAGCCACTCTAGTGCGGCACTAGGGGGCGCTGAGCTGCGAGAAGCAGGGCAGAGACCCTCTCCCCTGGCAGTCAGTGCCTCAGTGTGGCATTAGGGGGCGCTGTGCTGCAGGGAGCGGGGTGGGGGCTCGAAAGAGGTGCTGTCCCCTGGCAGTCAGGGATGGCCCCAAGGCAGCACTAGGGGGCGCTGTGCTGACAATGTTCATTGCAGTGTCTCTGGCACTTTCGTCTTTAATCCAAGTGTTCATTCTGGTGTCTTAGCCGAATCCCTCGCTCTGCCTCCCTTGCTCCCCCCCTGTACTTTCAGCTGGATACCAGGGTCACCTCCTCTTCCTGTATTAAACTGTGTGCTGGTCGCTCAGTACCCAGCCACCCACCCCAGAGGCGACTGCATCTCAGGGCCGGGTGTGCTATCCCTGTGCTGCGTTGTGTGCAGCTGTTCCCCAGCTGCCCCACCCCAGAGCTGGCTGCATCTCAGCGCCAGGTGAGCCATCCCCATGCAGCTTCACTGCGCAGCTGCTCCCCTGCAACTCCACCCCAGAGGTGGCTGCATCTCAGCGCCAAGCCAGTGATCCCTGTGTGTGCAGCTTCTAAAGTGCTTTGGGATCCACTAAAGTATCATAATCATAGGTAAAGATACCCCATGGACTCACTGCCTGTTGTCTTTCGCAGATAAAAAGGTGAAGGGACACAAAGGAAAGATCCATGTCTCTTAGCCACCAACCCACAGAAGAGAATTCTGGCTCCCCCCACGCTTCGTCTGTTTGCTTCACCCAATGGAAGATTGTCACGTGCCAATCGGCAGCTCTATTTCCTGGGTGGTCCCAGCTGCTGAGATGTCGAATCGGGCATGAGA